AAATTGCTTCAATATTTAATCACTAGAATAAAAATATTAGGACTAGTTGTCACATAGTGTTTCTGCATTAAATGAGATAATAGTGTTTTCTGCCTGTTATGGAGTGTTCACATCTTAAGTGTATAGCTGTTGCAGTTCATTTGTTGATCAACAAATGAACCATATTTATCATACCACTCAGTGATAAATTAGGAAGACCCGGAGTCTCTCATACACTGGTGGTATTCTGAGAAGGCTTTGCTATAATGTGATTCTGAGGGAGAGCTATAAGGATAAGGGTGACACACAGAAGAAACTCTTAAGAAAATTTTCTAGAGAAGGTGAGAAGTGAGTGATTGTGGATAAGGTGAGTTCTCATTGTTCTCATCAGTAAACTAGGGTTTTTAATAGTAATTGTGATAAGTATTAAATGGTATTTAAAAGGCTTGTGTATAGGATCTTAACATACTAAGTGCTTAATATATACTAACAATAATACTTATGAAACTGAGGAAAAGGTGGATTGAGATTTTCTTTTTTTTTAATTTAATTTAATTTTATTTGTGAACATACTGTACAGAGGGGTTACAATTACATGGGCAGGATAATGTGTACATTTCTTACCAAGCATTGCAGCTGGATTGAGATTTTCTTTGCTGAGAGTAGTTTGAGATTGGAGGCATTGATGAGTTGTTAGTAAAGATAGAACTGGAGAATTTCATATGGGGCTAGATCTTGAAGATTTTTTCCATAGAGAATCACTAAAAAGTTTGAAGTATGAGACTGCTGGTATTAGATAGAGTTGCAACACAGTGTGGCTCACGGGTTGGATAAGATGGAGGAAACCAGATATGACGCTGTTCTACCGATGCTGACCAGAGTTCATATTGTAGAGAGACAGTAAATATATTCTCTGTCTCTGTCCCTTTCTGTGTCTCTCTGTCTCTGTCTTTCTTTTTTTTTGGGTCTGGTCGTGGGGCCTGAACTCTGGGCCTGGGTGCTGTCCCTCAGATCTTCAGCCAGCTCAAGACTAGCACTCTACCACTTGAGCCACAGCGCCACTTCCGGCTTTTTTCATTTTGGTTATGTGGTGCTGAGGAATCGAACCCAGGGCCTCAGGCATGCAAGGCAAGCGCTCTACCACTGAGCCAACTTCCCAGCCCCTGTCTCTGTCTTTCTCTTTCTTCCTCTCTGTCTATCTCTGTCTCTGCCTGCTTGCCTGCCTGCCCGCCCCCCCCCCATCTCTTTCTCTCATGGTACTAGGGTTTGAACTCAGGACCTCAAACTTGCTAAGCAAATACTCTACCACATGAGCCACACTATCAGTTCCTCTCTGTGTTGATTTGTTGGTTATTTATTTAGCTATTTATGTTTGTTTAGTACCCATACCAGGGCTTGAAACTCAGAACCTTGCACATCCCCTACATTCAATTAAACAAAAGGTGCGTGTGTGTGCGCGCGCGCACGCACGCACGCGCACATGCTGGTACTGTGGCTTGAACTCAATGCCTAGGCACTGCCCCTTAGCTTTTTCACCTAATACTGGTGCTCTACCACTTGAGCCAGAGCTCCATTTTCAACGTTTTTGCTGTTTAATTGGATATAAGAGCCTCATTGACTTTCCTCTTCCAGCTGGCTGCAAACAGTGATCCTCAGTATCAGCCTCCTGAGTAGAGCCCCAGTGCAAAATTTCTTAATTAAAATCAAGATTCATATGTATATGCCCACATCAGCTAAAACTGAATTTCTGGGACAGTTGACTTTAGGAATTTCTTACCACACAGTACAGATTGATAACCAATATGCAACAGAGTCCTAGAGAGAGATGATCATTTCTGAACTTCTCAGTAATCCTCTGAGGTCATAAATAGGGAATAGGATTATTTTTATGGATGAATAAATGAAATGAAGATGAACAGAGTGGCTTATAATTAGTTGATTATTTTTGTGTGTATATGCTAGTACTGGGGCTAGAACTCTGGGCTTGGGTGCTTTCCCTTATCTTTTTTTACTAAAAGCTGGTGCTCTATCACTTAAGCAATTGTTCCCTTTCTGGCTTTTTGGTGTTGTTTGGAGTTAACAGTCTTACAGAATTTCCTGCCTGGGCTGCCTTCCAACTATGATAATGATCCTCCATTCTCAGTAGCTAGGATTACAGGTGCGAGCTACCAGCCATGAGTTCATTATTGATGACAGTTCATATTCATCTTACTATCTTCCTGTTGACTATGAAGTAAGCTTATTTAGAAAATTTGTAATAGATACACAAGAAACTGAACCTCTGGTAATGACCAATTTAGGGAACCAGAAAACACACTCTTCTATGGTCATGTTTTATATAAAATAAAAATTAGGTTCAACTTTTTATAATAACTAACTGAAAGATTGTCTAGGAAAAGTGTTTCTGTCTTGGATAAAATGATGCAATGCCTGAATGTCTCATTTCTTTAAAACCAGTATACTGCACTATTTATTTTTCAGTGATGACTGATGAATTAGTTACTATGAATATATAATATAATTGAATTTTTTTCAAGCTCTTTTAAAATTCTACAAAATGGGTCATATTTGGATATAGGGCTTTATTTTTTATAGTATGAGGGTTACATCTGCTTTATGACTGTAACTGGTAATACTTTCTGTGGAAATTTCTGTAGTCTTTTTCAAGGGCCTTCATATGTGCTGTGAATCTGAGATCCTAGTTAACACAGTAGTACCAGTGTTAGCTGCAAGTAGTAGAAAAATAATTCTTTTCAGTGAAGATTGGTTTTTAGATTTGCTGTTGAATGCTTGAATTGTCAGTGAATTTTATTAGTATGGGAAAACAAGCAAAGCTCTGTAGCAAAGAGTAAACAAAATAAAAAGGGTTTAGGAATAGGACTTAATTTTATTTTCCATTTTACATACTTTTAAAGAAACTGAGTAGCTGAGTTTTTAAGACTAGAGAACTAAGTTGCTACAGTTACTTAATTTAGATGAAAAATATACTTGTAATTAGTCATAATGCAATGGAGTTTATCTGCTCCAGAAAGCTTATAGCATTTCTGTGGAATGCTTAAGTTTGGAATGTGTAGTGAGTGAGTGATAAGAGGACAATGCAGGTGCTGTGAGGGTTTTGGCTAGTTTGGTTGCTTTCTTGTTGTAAAAGAAGTAATGACAATCATCAGATTTAGGCTTATTTAGATTTGGGTTAAATTTTCTTAATAATATAACTTACGTTCTTATAGTTTGTGTGTGTGTGTGTGTGTGTGTGTGTGTGTGTAGGACTTGAACTTAGGTCCTGGGCACCAATCCTTTTTCTGCTCAAGGATAGTTAGCTATCTGTCATTTGAGCCACAGCCCCACTTACGGCTTTTTGTGTGAGTGATTAATTGGAGATAAGAGTCTCCTGGATTGCCTCTGATTGATCTGGCTTTGAACTTCAATCTTCAGATCTCAGCCTCTTGCTGAGTTGGGATTACAGGTGTAAGACATGGGCTCATAAAGATTCTTACTCCTTTTATCTGGTAGGAATTTGGTGTGCTACATCATAGTGAATAATTTTAGAATATAGGTTTCTTTATGTGATAGATATGAATAAAGATACATTTCTTTCTTTTGATAAGCCATTGATGAGTTAGTTGAAATGCTTAAATTTTTTTTAATGAGTTTTTGTTTTGATTTTGTTTTTGGTAATGAGGTCTTGCTACATTGCCCAGGCTGGCTTCTAAGTACTGGGTTCAAGTGATTCTTTGCTCTAGCTATTGAAGCTGGGACTTCATGGACCTGCCACTGAGCCTGGAAACTTAAGTTTTGTAACTTTTATATACTATTTATTGTCATAATCAGAGCTACACTGTATATATTTTTCAGACTTAAGATCAGTAATCAAGTTCATGTTTTTAAGTTTATTTTTAAGAATTTTTATGTAGCTGTACTCCATTACTTGAGCCATATCCTTAGTACTTAACTTGTTTGTAAGTAAGGCCTGTACTAGTTTTGCCCAGGTTAGCCTTGAATTGAGATTTTCCTATCTCTACCTTCCAAGTAGTAGGCACATGCCACCATGCCAGGCTTTTTTTTTTTTTTTTTTTAATTTGACGGGTTGGTTATTGACCTCAGGGACTTGCATATGCTAAGCATACGTCTTACGCTGAGCAATCTCCCTAGCCCCTCAAGTTTTTTCTTTTTTGTGTATATGCTGATCCTGGGTTTGAACTAAGGGCCTGGGCAATGCCCCTGAGCTTCTTTTGCTCTAGGCTAACACTCTACCACTTGAGCCACAGCACCACTTCGGCCTTTTCTGGTTATGTGGTATTGAGGAATCGAACCCAGGGCTTCATGCATGTGAGGCAAGCATTCTACCACTAACCCATATTCCCAGCCCCTCAAGTTATTATTTTTTAAAATATACCTACAGAAAGATTAAAGTCATATTTAAGGGAAAGTCATAATCTTACTTCATTCATAAGCCTTATAGATTAATTTCTTCATATTGTCATAAGGTACCAAGGTACCTTTTTTTTTTTTTTGCCAGTCATGGGGCCTGAACTCTGGGCCTGGGCACTGTCCCTCAGCTCTTCAGCTCAAGGCTAGCGCTCTACCACTTGAGCCACAATGCCACTTCTGATTTTTTCTTCTTATGTGGTGCTGAGGAATCAAACCCAGGGCCTCATGCATACGAGGCAAGCATTTACCACTGAGCCACCTTCCCAGCCCCAAAGTACTTTTTAATATCTGGGTATAGTTCCAGAAAATGAGATATGTCTGTGTTGGAGGTAAAGGAATCTAAGGAATTCTCTGATTTGAAGGAATTTTAATTTTTAATTAATTAAATTTTGAGAATTTGTTAGTACTTTGCAATGAATTTGTAAGGTTAACAAATCATCTGTTGAAGAGCATGTTTAAATGTAAGAAATTATTTGTGAAATGTGTTATAAAATGAAGTGTGCTACATATAAGTGTTTATATACAGTTTTTTCCCACAGATCTGTAAATAGTAACAGCTATAGTGACTATATTGTATTTTCCCTTCACAGATACCAAACCAAGTTGTGCTAGTACAACCATATAAATAATTAATATCTGAAGTCTCAGTGTAACATGGACATTAACAGTGATGACATATAAATACAGACGGGAACCAAATGCTAGGTGAAATACTTTTTACAAGGTAAGAAAAAATATATAACCTTGAATAAGGCCAAGTAAGATGTAGTTAGAAATAATTGACTGACATTTCTTTTTCAGTTTATCTGGCTTTTCAGTCTGCAGGATCTTTTTTGTTTTAATACTGTAGAATTCAGCAGTATCAGTTTTCCTGTGTACATAGCTGAAGAAATTCTTACTTGGCAGGTATCATAGTGGATTGTGTTCCTATACTAAACCTTGTTCAAAATATGTAATTGCCTCACTAGAATTTAGTAGAGTGCTAGAATGGGCATATCCATGTATGTTCACCAACACTTAAGTTGTGGATTCTATCTTTTTTGCTTTTGATGAGTGCTGTTACCATCATACAGCAATCAATTTAATGTTTTACCTAGTTTGTGAAAGATTTGGGGGTTGGCTGTGAAGAAATTGTCAGTTGGGATTTTTGGCACAAAAAGTGAATTTTCAAGTCATAGGATCATGTTTTTGTTGTGCTTATCTTCAATTTAGAACTTATTAAAACATAAATAAGTGACTGGAAATAGTGGTGCTCCTTGGGAGGTGGAGACAGGAGGATTATGTCTGAGACCACCCTAGGCGAAGTTAGCTTGAGACCCTATTTGAGAAAAAACAAACGTAAAAGCAAAAGGATGGGTTTGTGGCTCAAGTAGTAAGTACTTGCTATGTTATAGCATTACATAGAGTACTTGTAACTACATCATTTGATGATAATCTTTCTAGTAGGCTGTAATCATAGTTTTTAAGGTTTGAGAATCTTACCAATCTTTAAATTTCAGTCCTTCACTGAAAATAATAGCCCTTTTAGAATATATTGTTGCATGCTTATCGTGAAGTGCACTTTCCATTATAGATATCTCTTGGCCTTGTTTTCTGGTGCTCCATGTTCATTTAGCCAGTATCACTCATTCTTAGAAAAGGTATCACAATAAATTAGTAAAACTATAATCAATAATATAATTAGGCTAATTAAAATATCTTCCTAAGTGGGCACTGAATCCAGGAAATCTTTATTATTTTTGTCCATATTGGAAATCTGTATGCTAAAATGATAGAAACGCCTTTCAATAATTGAGTCTTACATGACTTCAGTAAGTAACAAAATTTTATCCTGTTAAAACAAGAGACTTGCTTCTTTGGTGTATATTACTTAAATGAGTTTAATTATTTAGCACCCAGTTTTTTTCTTCTTGGACTGTACCATTGGAAAAAATAGAAATTTTGTTGTGAGAAACCTTATAAAAATAATCACTTTTTAGATCACTTAAAAATAATAAAGAACTGACATATTTTGACTCAGAGTAATAATTGAGTTGTAAGGATTTGGTTTATTTATTTATTTATTTATTTGGTCTGGTCATGGGGCCTGAACTGTGGGCCTGGGGGCTCTGGGGGCTGTCCCTCAGTTCTTCAGCTCAAGGCTAGCGCTCTACCACTTGAGCCACAGCGCCACTTCCGGCTTTTTTCTTTTTTCTTATATGGTGCTGAGGAATTGAACCCAGGGCCTCAGGCATACAAGGCAAGCGCTCTACCACTGAATCAACTTCCCAGCCCCGGATTTGGTTTATTTTAAGCTTTGTTTTTGAAGCTTATTATTTTTATGGGCTTCTAAAAATCCTATTTCAGTTTCTTACCCCTGAACAGTAGCTACCAAGGAATGCCAATGAAGAAATTCTGTTACTGGCTATGTCCTTTAATCTTAGGAATAAACCTACTAGCATAAGTTAATTTCCTTCTTTAATTTTTTTATTATTTTATTTTAAAGAAAGGAAGTTGAGAGGTTCTAGTATTCTCCATGGCTGAAGCTGTGTGTCTGAAACCCTGACGCTTAAACTCTATTATAGATCATAGCTGCAACTCCTTCAGGATATAAGGAAAAGAGATAAGATTTCCACAATGATAGATCTTTGGTTGTACAGGTAAGTTATTTAGTTTTGCAGTAATGAAGAAAATTGTATATTTTTGGTTTCATCCCTCCCTCCCTCCCTCCCTCCTTCCCTCCCTCCCTCCTTTCCTCTCTCCCTCCCTCCCTCCCTTTCTCTCCCACTTTTTCTCTGTCTCCCTCCCCCGCTCACTCTCCCTTCCCTTCCCCTTCCCCTTTCATTTCTGTTGTTCATTCTCTGTTTCTTTCTTGGGTGGGAGACTTATTATTTTACCATGCTTATTTCTCTATGTGGAAAATTGTGTAGGCTGTTTTTATAGGAATGTGGAGCTTTAGGGATTGGGCTAGGAATGACATATTTTACCTGACAAAGGGATAAATAAAATGATAAAATATGCTGGAATTTCTAGACCATTTAGTCTGTCTGAGAGCCTAGGCATTTCATGGGGCTTTAAGAAATTTCTTGACTTCTCTTTTCTTTCTCTTCACTTATCTTTTAAAGTATGTATTCATTCAAAATCCTTTTATATAGAATGACATAAAATTTCCACACTTTAAAGAGGTGACTGTTAAGAATCTTAAGATGGATTGTTAGGGTAGGTCCTCAAGTTTTACTCTTCTGTTTACTTTGTAGATACAGTGTTTTAAATGAATTGTGTGTAAGAATTGTTGAACATGTAAAACAGTTTATGTTGTAGACAAATAGAAACAATTACATTGGTTATTCTCATTTGCTCTTGCTCTTTTTTTCTTTTCTTTAGTTTTCTACCAAAAATGGTATCAATATCAACACCAGTTTTCTTTTCTTTTAATTTTTTTTGTTGGTCATGGGGCCTGAACTCTGGGCCTGAGTGCTGTCCCACAGTTCTTCAGCTCAAGGCTAGCACTCTACCACTTGAGCCACAGTGCCACTTCCAGCTTTTTCTGCTTACGTGGTGCAGAGGAATTGAACCCAGAGCCTCATGCATGCAAGGCAAGCACTCTACCACTGAGCCACCTTCCCAGCCTCTCATCACCAATTTTCTAAAGATTGTTTACTTAAAGCTATTATTATTAATAAATATGAACAAAAACATCAGTGTCATGGGAAGACTGCCATCTCTTGAATTCTCAAAATAAATTTCATTTTGGTGATGAGGGAATGAGTCAGGTTGTAGGCAGTATCTTTGAAATAGGTTTTTCAGATTTCATTAAAGTAAAGGTGATAGCTGGAGTAGTATGTTATTAGGAAGGCCTTATTAAGTATTCTTTACCACTCTTGGTTCTACTGATAGAGTTCTCCATGTGTGATTACAGTGTCTAGAGTTTCTTTTTCTTTTTTAAGAGAATACTTAGTTTCTGTAATCAAACCAGGTAGTCAAACATATTGCATTACCCATGTATAACTGGAAAAAAATTGTTTAACACTTTTAGACCAATATGGCTATTAATTTCTTTATAATGCCAATTCAACATGGTAAACTGGGGTACTTTTTCCAAAGTTGACCGCAGCTAAAGTTTCCGATGTAATATGTTTATGATGTGAAACATAGCTGAAAATAATTTAGAGGATATTTCAAAAGTTATCTTAAATTTGGGTGAGAATAGATTCAAGTTTGGAGAAATGTTTCCCTGCTGTAAGTTAATAGACTGTGTAGATTTAGGGATAGGATTTGGGATTTGTGTGGGGTTAGTTAAAATTTGGTTAAATGGCCTTTCTCATGTATGTCCTTCAGTACAGTGAGGGAGTATAGGTAGTGTTTAATTCTAGTGATCTATCATAATCTCTGCATTCCTCCATATTCTAAGAAGTCTCACTGTTGATTAGTTGGTGGGTAACATAGGAAAAACTTGAGTCTGGTTGTTAGATTAGGTTTTTCCCATTTAAGTATGTTAACTAATGGTTCCTCTTGGTTAAAAATAAACAAAACTATAGTAATCGAATTTCCGTGCTCAAATAGAAGTGAAATAGTGAGGTTTACACTCATATGTCTCCTGTTTAGATAAAATAAAAGCAGGAATATTTTTGAAGTAGTTTGTAAATAAGTAATTTTCTTTTTTTTTGCCAGCCCTGTGGCTTGAATTCAGGTCCTGAGCACTATCCCTGAGCTTCTTTTGCTTAAGGCTAGCACTCTACCCCTTGAGCCACATCGCCACTTCTGTCTTTTTCTCTTTATGTGGTACTGAGGAATTGAACCCAGGCTTCATACATGGTAGGCAAGCACTCTACCACTAAGCCACTTTCCCAGCCCTATAAATAAGTAATTTCTGTTCTCTTAGCAACTTAATGTTTTTGTTTGTTTGTTTGTTTTGGTCAGGCATGGGGCTTGAACTCTGGGCTGTGGCGCTGATCTTGCCTCTTCAGCTCAAGGCCAGCGTTCTATTGCTTGAACCACAGCACCACTTCCGGTTTTCTAGTGCTTTTATTGTAGATAAGAGTTTCCTGCCTGGGCTGGCTTTGAACCTCAATCCTCAGATCTCAGCCTCCTGAGTAGCTAGGATTACAGGCATGAGCTACCGGCACCCGGCTGCAACTTAATGTTTGACAGAACTATAATTTTGTGTGCCAGTCCTCTTCACTAGATTCTTCAATAACTTTGAATTATGCAGCTAAAATGAAGAAAACAACAGCTTTCGTCTGCCTGCCATATTTTGCTAATAAGCATGGAAAGACTATGTTGGGAGTTGGTTGGGATAGTCTAAAACATTTTTAGCTCCTTTTTGATAACTGAATTTTGTACTCTATTTATCAGACAAATTAAAAAAGTGTATATATGTTTATCCGAAATACAAAAGATAGGAGAAAAAGGTTAAGATAGAAGAAAAAACCAATCAGACAAGATTGGTTAAATTTCTTTAACTTTCATAATTTAAGTGTATATAAAGTGTTAGTTCTCCCTAAAAGATTTATACAATCCTTTGTTTGGTGCTTTCTTAGTCAGATAGATTGTGGTCTTACAAGTTTTAAAAACAATTTTTTTTTTTTTTTTGTCTGTCATGGGGCTTGAACTCTGGACTTGGGTGCTGTCTCTCAGCTTTTCAGCTCAAGGCAAGCGCTCTACTGCTTGAGCCACAGTGTCACTTCCGGTTTTCTAGTGGTTTATTGGAGATAAGAGCCTTATGGACTTTCCTGCCTGGGCTGGCTTTGAACGGTGATCCTCAGATCTCAGCCTCCTGAGTAGCTAGGATTACAGGTGTGAGCCACTGGCACCGGGCTAAAAACATTTTTTATTATTATTAAGGTTGTGTACTGAAGGGTTACAGTTACATAAGTCAGGTAAGAGTGCATTTCTTTTTAGACAGTGTTATACCTTTCCTCACTTTCCCCCAGTTGGCCTTATAATTTTTAAAAATTAAATAATAGTAAGGAGTTAAAGGGTATATTATAAAGAGTTTAGTTTGATTATTACATTAAGTTATTAGAATATGGTCTAAGTTCCTTGGTCTGAAGCATTGTTTCATAATATGAAAATGAGTCATCAGTGTAGAGCCTGATACACTGCATCTCTCTCTTCCCCCCTCTCTCAGTATCAAACTCAAAGCCTCCCATATTCTAAGAAGGTGCTCAATTACTGAGTTACACTTTTCAGCCCCCAGTACACATTTTCAAAAAGCTCTCAGAAGATGCCCAGGGTAGTGATTCTCAGGCTACACTTGAAGTTGCAATAGTTTGCATTATAAAGGGTCCTAGTTATAAACTGTGTTCCCTTTCAGTGCAGTCCAATAGTACAGGATTTGATAACCTTAAAAGTTGAACACTGGAGTTAATAGAATTAAAACAAGTTTGAAAAAGCAAAAGAAACATGTTTAATCATTCATGCTAATTAGTGTTTTAATATTTTAATCACTAATGGTGGGAGAATAACAAACATTAATAAATACATGTGTATATTTGTATGTATACACATTCCAGGTAGTAGATATATTTCATCAAATATAGTTTCTTTCTATAAAGCAGAGATTTGTTTGCATTCAGATTGGTATAGAAAGAAGAAAAGAGGTTAAGGAAATAAAGGATTACTTAAGAGGTTTTTATGTTTTTTTTTTTTTTTTTTTGGTGCTAGTACTGGGGTTTCAATTTGGGATCTGGGCACTGTTTCTTAACTTTTTTGCTCAAAGCTGGCTTTCTGCCACTTGAGTCACAGCTCCACTTCCAACTTTTTGCTGGTTAATTGGAGGTAAGAGCCTCATGAATTTTCTTACCCATGCTGGCTTTGAAACTCAGTTCTTATTGCTAAGATTACAGGCATGAGCAACTGATGCCAGCATCATTGCTTTTTAAAAAGTAAAGCCTAACAGATGTTTGTATTTCTAAAATGTGATTGCCCGAATTCTTTTTGAACTATATTATGAATATAATTAAGTTTACATTAAGTTTTGTAAATAGTTTATAAAAGTAACTTGGTAGCTTTGTACATATATATAGATGTTTAATATTTAATCTGTACATTTGAGAGCTCCAGCTTTGGGTAGAAGAAACAAGTACTTTTAATATTTTTTTGTTTTGGGTGGAAATAGTACTAGGGTTTGAATTCATGGTTGCTAAGTTTGCTTGCTCCACTGATGCTTTAGCATTTCAGCCATGCCTCCAACTTGTGTTTTTTTCCTATTTATTTATTTATTTATTTACTTACTTACTTATTTTTTATTATCTTTAAGTAGTTGTACAAAGAAGTTCCCATTCTATAAAATAGTATATGAGTACAAAGTGTCTGACAACGTTGTCACCCATCTTTTTTAACCCATCCCTTCTCTCACTTTTTTCTTTAATTGAGATTAGGTGATTACATAAATTTCACATATTTCACAGTATTCCAACTTGTGTTTTTGCTGGTCATTTTGGAGATGGAGCTTCTTGGGACTTTTCTGCCTGGATTGCCTTCAAACTACTATTCTTTGGATCTCTTCCAAACTAGTGAGGGTTATAGGTATGAAGCTATTAGTACATATCATTTTCTTTTAAAATGTCATTTAAAGTTAAAATTTATTTCAATTAGAAATTTATGGGACATTTGGTGTCCAATACTTTTAAGTAAAAAGAGACTATAATTTTGGTGACAAAGTATTAGCAAAAGAGAATTATGTTTCAGAGATCCATTTAAGGAATTCCCAAACTGTAAAAGTTTTCTATAAGAAACGTATTTCTGCGTCCTGATAAGTAAAATAGAAAAAAGGAATTATTTAATTCTAGGTTAATTTTGTGAATCATGTGAGATTTTTTTAAGTAGCTAATTAAAAATGTATGAGTGGGGGCTGGGAAGGTGGCTCAGTGGTAGAGCGCTTGCCTTGCATGCCTGAGGCCCTGGGTTCGATTCCTCAGCACCACATAAGCAAAAAGAAAAAAGCCGGACGTGGTGCTGTGGCTCAAGTGGTAGAGCGCTAGCCTTGAGCTGAAGAGCTGAGGGACAGCGCCCAGGCCCAGAGTTCAGGCCCCATGACCGGACCCTCCCCCACCAAAAGAAAAAAATGTATGAGTGTGCCAGATTTTAAAACAGAGCTACTACCTTCAACCAGCTTGTTTGTTTTATTGTTTTCTTAATTTGTTTGTCAGCAGCTAGAAATGCAGAGACAGTTTCTTGCTTCTTTTATGTGTGTTGTGCTTGTTGCTTTGTCTTCTGTAGTTCTAACCTTTCTACTATTATAGGTACCTTTAGTTGAGGCAATGGAGAGGTTGCATTTAATTTGTGGGGGAGGAATTAAATGGCATTTTGAAGGTTATTTTTATGTCAGGTAAGCTGTTGAAGGATGACAAAGCTGGAGGATAGGATGGTGAACTTTGTTTTATAGGAGTTAGTGCCGTCTTTCTTTAACCATACTATGTGCTGCTGAAGTTAAGCAGTGAAATGACAAAATATCTTAACTGAAAGGTAAACAGGAAAGGGCCAGAGTCATGGAAGCTTTAAATGCTAGTATTGTCTTTATTCTTTCTGATTGGGAAACCTTTGGAAAATAATAAATCTTTTTGAGTTTGTCCACATGGACCAGTCAAGGCATTTTTCAGTATGTTCCACATTTCTGTCTTAGAATCATCAAACATCTACATCATAGAACCTGCCTCTGAAATCATGCATTAAACTTGCACACACTATGTACAGGAATTTCAAGGAGTAGGATTATATATACATATATACTCCCAATTTCTTAAATATACCTATTTTCTTCAGTGATTTATTTCCCATTTCTGTTATCTTTAGCTTACTTTCACTTGGTCACTTACACCGTTTTCTAGACTAGGAAGGCTTTCTTTGACTCTGTTGTTAGCTAGTGCACACTAACAGAGTGGATTCTGTCCATTTATATAATTCCTAAAAGTATAATTGAATCAAAAATTTTTGGTGTCAAGTAGCTTATTAGTAATTTTCATATCAGTTGGGCACTGGTGGCTCAGTAATGTAATCCTAGATATTCAGGAGGCTGAGATCTGAGGATTGCAGTTTGAAAGCTAGCCCAGGCAGGAAAGTTCATGAGGATCTTAACTCCAATTAACCAAAAGCTGCAAGTGGAGCTGTGGCTCAAGTGGTAGAGTGCTAGCCTTGAGCAAAAAAGCTTAGGGATACTGCTCCGGTCCTGAATACAAGCTCCGGGAGCAAAACAGAGGTAGAAAAAGAAAAAAAAAATGTTCAGACTCATAACTCATGAAGAATGATTTAAAAAAAAAATAGGGACTTTCTTCAGGGACTGTTTTGAGGGAACATTAGAGGTAATTAGTATGCTTTTTTTTATAGAATAGCTGCTAGTATATTCGGAATTATTATTTTAATCAGAATGACACTTCATCTTTAAGCTAGATCAGTTCTAGATACTTTGTGTCTCCAGAGGCTGATGAACAACAGTGAGGCAGGCCTACAACATGGTCTCTGGAGCCCTGCTATGCTGCTTCCTAGCTAGGTTAAGTGACCTTAAGCAGTTACTTCGAACTGCTTTGAAGGAGAGTTCATGACTCATTTGTAAAGTAGGGATAAGAGTAGTACCTATCTGAATTTGAGACTTGAGTGAGTTAATATGTTAATCATATAGAATAGTTCATTATTACTTGTCACTAATATTATTACTGGAAATGTTATTTGTCCCATAATTTGTTAATATGGCTTTACTTGGATTAAAAAGTTGTAGCTTCATTTTTTTGTTTTAGATATATTAACTATGACCTTTTCTCACTATTTTGTTTACATTTTTGAAGGTTTCCCAATGAGTGGATCATGATGACCGTATTATAGGGACTTGCCATAGTATGGCTGCTTCCCGATCTACTCGTGTTACAAGATCAACAGTGGGGTTAAACGGCTTGGATGAATCTTTTTGTGGTAGAACTTTAAGGAATCGTAGCATTGCTCACCCGGAGGAAATCTCTTCTCATTCTCAAGTACGATCAAGATCACCAAAGAAGAGACCAGAGCCTATACAGATTCAGAAAGGAAATAATAATAATGGAAGAACCACTGATTTAAAGCAGCAAAGTACTAGAGAATCATGGGTAAGCCCTAGGAAAAGAGGACTTTCTTCTTCAGAAAAGGATAACATAGAAAGGCAGGCTGTAGAAAATTGTGAGAGAAGGCAAACAGAACCTGTATCACCAGTTTTAAAAAGAATTAAGCGTTGTCTTAGATCTGAAGCACCAAACAGTTCAGAAGAAGATTCACCTATAAAATCAGACAAGGAGTCAATAGAACAGAGGAGTTCAGTAGTGGACAATGATGCAGAGTTTCAAGGGACTAAACGAGCTTGTCGATGTCTTATACTGGATGATTGTGAGAAAAGGGAAGTTAAAAAGGTGAATGTCAGTGAGGAAGGGCCACTTAATTCTGCAGTAGTTGAAGAAATCACAGGCTATTTGGCTGTCAATGGTGTTGATGACAGTGATCCAGCTGTTATAAACTGTGATGACTGTCAGCCTGATGGGAACACTAAACAAAATAGCACTGGTTCCTATTTGTTGCAGGAAAAATCAGTAGCTGGAAATGGGGATTTGGAAACCCCGACTTCAATGTTCCTTGATAGTAGGAAGGACGGTTATATAGACCATAATGTGCCTTGCACAAATTCAGAAGTGCAGGTCAAGTTGGAGGACCATAAAACAATAACTGCCTGCCTGCCTGTGGAACATGTTAATCAGCTATCTACTGAGCCAGCTTCAGCCCCTGTTTCTGAAATTCAGTCATCTTTAAGGGATTCTGAGGAGGAAGTGGATGTGGATGTGGTGGGAGATAGCGGTGCCTCAAAAGAGCAGTGTAATGAAAACACCGGTAACGTCCTGGATACAGTTACTGACAATATGCCGGTCTTGGGAGAACAAGAACAATCTTCCATTCTAGACTGTGTTTCAACTCAAATAATGTCTTTATCAGAACCTCAAGAACATCGCTATACCTTGAGAACTTCACCACGGAGGGCGGCCCCTACCAGAGGTAGTCCCACTAAGAACAGTTCTCCTTGCCAAGAAAATGGACAATTTGAGGAGAATAATCTTAGTCCCAATGAAACAAATACAACTCTTAGTGATAATGTAAGTGAGTCTACCACAAATCCTGATGAAATTTCTCAGAATGAAAAAGTTGTGTGTCGTGACTCTCAAAACTATGGAAGTGAAGGACTAAGTAAGTCATCCTCAGAGGCAAGACTCAATATTGGACACTTACCATCGGCCAAAGAGAGTGCCAGTCAACACATTACAGAAGAGGAAGATGATGATCCTGATGTTTATTACTTTGAATCAGATCATGTGGCACTGAAACACAACAAAGAGTATGTGTAACTATGGTAACCATGAATTCTGCTTTGTCTACCATTCCCCAAATTTTTGTATCCATAAATGTCTTTACATGCGTTTTTTTTTTAACTATAGCTAAAATTAATGTTTAGCTAGATTTTAAATTTAACATGATTTTTCAGCTAGTAAAAAAAGAAGGTTTACCTGTAATCCTAGCTATTCATGTGTTTTGAGATCTGAAGATTTTGGTTTAACCAGGCAGGAAAGTCTATGACACTCTTACCTCCAATTAACCAACAAAAAGCCAGAAGTGGAGCTGTGGCTCAAGAGGTAGAGTGTTAGCCTTGAGCAAAAAAGCTCAGGGACAGGGCCTAGGCCCTGAGTTCAAGCCCCATAAGGCAAATACCCAAAAAATTGTCTAAAAAAGAAAAACTTAAAAAATTCTAGTTCATTACCCTTTCTTATGACAAAATAATCGTTCTAGTTCTCATATTTCTTGTCTCAATTAGAAAAGATGCATAAACATAAGGCGGTAGTGTTTTTGCTTTTTTTAAAAAAAGTTTTTCATCTTGAATTATCACAGGATTCTTTGGTTTTATAATTATAGGGTTTCATGCCCTCCAGATTGTAAGTGTGTAGTGAGTATAGAAAATCTGGCAAGAAGCCGGGTGCTGGTGGCTCACGCCTGTAATTCTAGCTACTCAGGAGGCTGAGATCTGAGGATCGTGGTTCAAAGCCAGCCCGGGCAGGAAAGACTGTGAGACTCCTATCGCCAATAAACCACCAGAAAACCGGAATTAGCGCTGTAGCTCAAGTGGTAGAGCGCTCCCCTTGAGCTGAAGAGCTGAGGGACAGCGCCCAGGCCCAGAGTTCAAGCCCATGACCGACAAAAAAAAAAAAAAGAAAATCTGGCAAGATAGGAATGTACTTTAAGTCATTTACATTTAAATTCCAATTAAATTTTTTTATTTGAAAGTTTATGTATTTTTTACTTGTATTGCTCAGAGAGTACTTACTTCTAACAGTTGTATGTTACAATTAGCATTAGCAAGAGTTAGCATCTACAAGTTATATAGAACATTTAATACAATTTTTTCTGATTCAGTCTTTTTTCTTGTTTTTTAGTCAATGCAGGGGTTTGAACTCAGAGTATAGAGCCCTTCCTTGGCTTTTTTTTTTTTTTCCTTGAGGCTGGAGCTCTACCATTTATTTGAGCCACAGTTTAGCCTTTTAGCTTTAGTTGTTATCATTTTGGATATTATGTTGCATTTTGTCCATGTCAGCCTAGAGTGTGATCCTCCTATCCATGCCTTCTGCCTGGTTGGAACTACAGATGAACACCATCACAATTTGGTTGAGATGAGGTCTTACTAACCTTTTGCTTGGGCTGGCCTCAAACTGCAGTCCTATGAAACTAGGATTATAGGAATATATCACAGTGCATAACCTGTGAAACACATTGGAAATTACTCTCACAGTCAGCTCATATTGGCTATGTAAAACTATTTTCACTTGAGGGACCTTTCTAATGTGTTTGTTAAAGGAGTTTCCAGATTCTGTACATATCAAGTATCAAATCTCATTTGTAGGAAATAATATTTATTTTCCCTTGGTGGAGTAAATCTCTCAGATTTATTTGTTTTATTCATTTTTGTGACCGTGCTAGAGCCTGAACTCAGAACCTTGTGCTCCCGCGTGGCTTTTTTTGCTCATAGCAAACTGGTGTATGTAATGCTTTTGCTCACTGACTTGTGTTCTACCACCTGAGTCACACTTCTAACCCCTAGTCCTCAGGTTTTTTTTTTTAAATATAGTGGTATAATAGATTTTTTTTTTTTTAGCATAGGCCTCTTCTGAAAATTAAAAAAAAAAATTTTTTTGGGGGGGGTCAGTTGTGGGACTTGAACTCTGGGCCTGGGTGCTGTCCCTTAGCTCTTCAGCTCAAGGCCAGCGCCCTACCACTAGCTACGGGACCACTTTCAGTTTTCTGGTGGGTTATTGGAGATGAGAATCTCACAGACCTTCCTTCTCTGGGCTGGCTTTGAACTGTGATCCTTCCTTCCCCGGGCTGGCTTTGAACTGTGATGTCAGCCTCCTCAGTGACTAGGATTACACGCGTGAGCCACCGGCACCTGGCTAAAACACTATTTTTAAAATAAGGAAAATTGAAAATTGCCAGGTGCTGGTGGCTCATGCCTGTAATCCTAGCTACTCAGGAGGCTGAGATCTGAGGGGTGCAGTTCAAAGCCAGGAAAATCCATGAGATTCTCATCTTCAACCACCAGAAAAGTGGAAGTGGCGCTGTGGCTCAAGTGGTAGAGCACTTGCCTTGAGTTGAAGAACTGAGGGACAGAGCCCAGGCCCAGACTTCAAGCCCCATGACTGATTCCCGCCCCCACCCCCCAAAAAAATATAGTGTTTTAATATTGGATTTAATAGCAGTCTTATTTTATATGACCATTTTATTTACTTTTGTAAAAATGTTAAAGAAGTCTCTGATATAAAATTTTTGAAGTCCAGTTTGATTTAGGAAAATATAATTGCATAAATGAGAACTTTTCAATTATTAGGAAGCTGAGCTGGGGATGGTGGCACATGGTTGTTATCTTTGTACTTGGGAGACTGAGGAAAAAACCAGCCTGGGCTATGTAGTGAGACCTTGCCTCAAGAAGGAAAAAGGCAAATCAAAAGAAAAGTGAATTATTTTTTTTCATCATTTATTTTTAAATTTTTTTTATTATCTTTAAGTAGTTGTACAAAGAAGTTGCCATTCTACAAAACAGTATATGATTCAAAGTGTCTGATAATATTGTGAAATTATATCCATTCGTATCTAGTACAGTTATTTTTCTGTAGGTGCAAGGAAGTAGGACGTGTTTCTTGGAGAAATATCAAAAGTTCCACAAGTGAATTCTTTTTGGGGGGTAGGGAAGGGAAATACAGTCTTGTCATGTTGCCCAGGGTTGTCTTAAATTGTTAAGCCCAAGTGATCTTCCTGCTACAGTATCTCAAATGGCTGGAACTACAGGTATGCACCAGCATACCCAGTTTTTAAAAGGTGAATATTTATAAAATATTTTTTGTTTTGTTTACCCCTCTCCTTTCTTCATTCTTTTTCCATCCCTTCCTCCTTCCCTGCTTTTTCTCTCTCCCATTCCCTTTCTTCTCACACAATGGTTCTAGGGATTGAACTGAGGGTCTAACACTATATTAGCCATGTGATCTACATTCCCAATCTCATGAAATTATATTTTACTAGTTTTATTCTTTGCTTTTCCTTGTTTGACAAAAGAGATGTTCTCTTAGGTCTTGCTTTTTATTGACCATAGAAAATGTTTTTCTAATAGTTCACCATAGAATTTTTCATACAAGATGTCAATGATTATAAAGGATGATGTTCCCATGAAACAGTTATGTGAAGATAGTGGTTATAGTTGGGTACCTATAGCTCATGCCTGTAATACTAGTTATGCAAGAGGCTGAAATCTGATAATCAAGATTCAAAGCCACCACCCATGCAGAGAATTCCATAGGCTCTTATTTTTAGTTAACTGGCAAAAAGCCAGAACTAGAAGCATGGTACCAACCATGAGCAAAAAAGCTGAGTTAGTGTAAAGCTCATTTTAAACCCCAGTACCAGAACCCTCCCCCACCTCCCAAAAAATAGTGACTATAACACTTAAAAGACATTTATTCTGTGATCAGTGGATGAGAACAAGTATTTTTATGGGACTCTTAGGATATATAGACTTTCGAAACTTCCGGTTTTCTGGTGGTTAATTGGAGATAAGTATCTCATGGACTTTCCTGTCCTTGCTGGCTTTGAACTGTGATCCTCAAATCTCAGCCTTCTAAGTAGCTAGGATTACAGGTGTGAGCCACTGGTACCCCACTGTGCTTCCTTTTTTAAACATTCTTTTTCAATGTCTAACCAGGCTAAACCTTGATTTCTTTGAGGTTTTTAATAGTATATATTTTTCACTATAGGCCCTTTCATATAGCAAGCCTGCCTACACTATGGAATCTACCATTTCCTGTGTTCTTGACCTCTACTTCTAATTGAGAAAGCTGTCTCGATTTATATATCACCATACTTTATTCTCCTCCTCTCCCTTCCCCTCCACTTCCCTCCCCCCCCCGCCTTTTTTTTTTTTAAATTTGAGACAGGGTCTTGCTATATAGTTCTGATTGGCTTTGATTGATATGAGATCCAGGCTGGTCTGGATCCTTCTGTCTCAGACTTCCCATTACTAGAATTACAGATGTGCTCCAACATAGATAACTAGAACATTTGTTTTCTCTTTCATATTAGTGCTGTGTCATTGTGTGAATTACTGGATGATATTAGTGGAGATAAAAGTATAAAAATAATTTCTATTGATTGCTTTGTAAACTTTGCTATAGAAGCCACCATATAGTTTATGTACCTCAGAGTAACACTGAAAAGCTTCAGCTGTTTCTCTTTCATTAATGAGTTATTCTGACAGAGTTAGGGTCCTCTGAAGTTTTTGGTATGAAAATATAGGGCTGTGTGTGGTGACACATGCCTGTGATCCTAGGTTCATAGAAGGCATAGATAAGATGACTGGTTTGAAGGCATTCTTTGTAAGAAAAAAAAAATTAAAAAGAGTGACTGTAGGTCAAAGAACAAATCTAGAATGGTGGCAAATGTCTGTAATCTCAGTGATACCAGAGGCAAAGGTAGGATGATTACAGCCTGAGACCAGTCCCAGGCAATAAACAGAACCTTGTCTGAAAATTAAAAGCAAAAAGGCCAGGGAAATAGCACAGAAGATAAGAGTTCCTGCCTACAAGTGAGGTCCTAAGTATGAACCCCAGTTACCCTGTCCCCAAAAGTATTATAGATTATGCTGAAAGAGATCCTAGTTTTGTAGAGTTGTAAACTAGTCTAGATAAACAGTCTTCTTTATCACAGTATGTGTTTCCCTGGAGTTAGGAAGTGTAAGTAATGGGGACCTTCAGGAAACAGGATAAAGGTCTTCAGCTGGATGTCTTATTTTATTCTAATAAGTTT